TAAATAAATAATGACATTAAATTTTACCAACCGCTTAGTTTGTAAGTGTTTAGATAAATACCCCTTTCTCATGGTTGAGAGAGTAATTGAATATTCCTCGAAAATTTCTATTTTTAGTATGCGTTATTTATTTTAAGATTTCGCGTGAGAGAGGATGACACGTGGCAAGAACATAGCTCTACTGCAAATAAACCCACCGGAAGCCGGCACGTTGCCAGAGTAGACCTCCCACACTCGACAAAACATGCTTTTCTCCGCCATTCCCCCCAAAATTTTCAACTTCTGTTTTCTCAAATTTTCAGATCTGAAATCGAATGAGAATCGTTTTGTGAGTGGGAATCGAAAGATTGCCGGAAGCTGCATTGAGGAAGTAGAAGATAGAGCGTGTTGCGGCACAAACTTGAAGACGAAAGCTGAAGGTACAAGCAAAATCATCAGAATGAATCAGCTTGTTACGTTATTCGATCAATAAGATAGCTTCTAGGTTAGATTACTCTCGCGAAATTTTGTTATTGAGAATTGATTTGATGATTTTCATTTATTGCATTTTGTTGTAGGGAGATATGTTAAATAACGCACGATTTCTTACTTTCTGCAAGCTAATTACTTAAGCAATGATTTGGCGGAGATGTATTCACGAATTTTAGTAGATCAAGCATCTCAAAAAATTAGTCTGAGGGAGAAACATTATTTGGTTTGGAGGAAGTCTAAAGTATTTGGTAGTTTCCACTTCATAAGGTAGGGTTCAATGCTTTGGGATCCCAAAAATAGCAAATGCATATTTAAATGGAAGTTAAAGTATTCAAAATCAGTAAAACCTAATCATGTTTGTAAAGGAAAGATGCTATATGTACCGATTTCAGTAACATTTTCTAATGATTTCTGAGAATGTCGTGTAGCCAAGTTGTAGAATTTTAGGGAAATGTGCTTACATTTAATTGTTTGTTTATCCATTAGCAGAAGTCTGTGGGAGGATGTGAGGTAAGTTGCAATTGCTTTCCTTCTGCTTTATTTTATCTACTTTCTTTGAGAATAGTCTTGACAACAGACCTATTATGTTGCATACGGTGTTTGCATGGTGTTTTCTCTCCTTCCAGGTGCATTTTTTGAATCACATTTATATGATTTTCTTAGTTTTTAACTTTTAATCTTAAGATATGTTTGAAAAAAATTGGGATAAAAACTCCAACCCAGGACCTCACATACAGCAAGGAGCTAATCAACACACTAATAATGATTCTGTGAAAAATATCCATAGCTTTGTTTTTTATAGTCAAATGGTGTCACCACTTGAAAAAATTTGTAAGTCTGCCTATGTCTTCAAATCATCTTGAGTTTTTTTTTTTTTTTCTGAAGTTGCCTCAAATCATTTTATAACATGGGAACTTTTCATTTCCCTTCTTTTCATCTTAACCTTTTGAGATTATTATTTTAGTTGCTCTTTTTCTTGCAAATAACTGTTGCAGTTTTATTTTAATAGAGATGGATGTGGAGTGTTTTAGGGCTCCCATGTTATGTTGTTTTTGTTTTATCTTTTATTGTCCTCATGCATGTTACCCTCTGATCACCAACATGAATATTTTTTAAAAAATTAGCAGAAGCAGGAAAGACCAAGTGTTGGAAGGATTAAAAGTTTGCCGACACTGTCAACCCTTGTTTTTATATTTAATATTTCATCTAGGTACGTCTTGAGCTCTGGGACATGCAGAAGGGCAAGCTTTATCCGTAATTGCAGGAAAGTGATGTAGATTCAATGAACCATAAACCCTAGCATGTACCAGTAATTAAAAGAACTTGCCAACTATTTGGGCAAAAAGTTGATTACTGACAACCCCAACCGGCCCTACACAGAACCTGCCTTCAAGGACACCAATGCAAGGGGGCATTTTTTGGCTCACAGCCTCACATAGCGGCTGAGGCTAGCGAGGAGCCTGGGATTGAACCTAGGACCTATCTTGTATTTGGGCAAAGTCGCCCTGCCCCTTTGCCTACTGAGCTACATGCCGAAGGCGACCGTGCCAACTATTGAAGAGAAGAAAAGAGGTAGGATGATACCATTTCACCTGTATAAGACCTTGACAGAAAAACAAAAGGAAGAAAAATAATTCGTGTGAGACCAATCAAAATAAGATGATGATACGTATAGGCTACATCTTCATGGGAGGCATTGTATAATGTGAATGGTGTCATTAGTATTTTCTTGCATAATGGCCCCTTTGGTCGTAAATTTGAACTTTAACGAGTCACTAATAGCTAAATAAAAATATGTTATATGCAGATTTTGTGACATATTGGTGAACTTCAAAAATTTATAAAATTTCAGGCTACCGAAAGAAGAATAAGTAAAAAGAAGAGAAATATTGTATTGATGAAGACATCCTCTAGAGGGCAAAGCCTTCTTGTCTGTTGCATATTGAGATATTGACTTTCTTTTTCTTTCTTTGTTTACATGTTAGTGGTTGCAATCTGCTTATGCTTTAAACGGTTTTCAGTCTTCTCGTCTTAAACTTGGATGACATGAAAGGTATGGCTCACAAGGAAGTGAATAAAGCAGGCAAGGCAGTCTTGTGAAGAACGATGAAAAAAAGCAATTTGAGAATTCTTCTGATATGGAACCGTAGTCTAAATAGATACGTGATCTAAAGATACCCATTAACCGCAGTCTACAAAATATAGACCCAGGGCGTAGTAAGGTACCAAAAACTTCTGGGAGTTGAAAATAAGCATATATCCGGAGATTTCCGAATAGGTTAACCTTTAAATGAAATTATTTTGATTCAGCCATCTGTTTCTCGACTTGACTACTTGAAATGGTTCCTTCAGTGATTGTATGTATTAGGTTCTTTTGTCTACCGGAAGTAGCAAGTACACATATTGCCTTCTCAGAGATATTCTCCGAAGCGGTGAAGTGGTGAAGGTTTCAATTATGCCATGGAGCGGTAAAAGATAGAGTAAATGATGCATATGGAAATAAAAAGTATAAGCGTCCAATGTTTTTGTCCATGATCCGAGAAAACAGATCCCATGAGTCAAATGATCGTAAATAGAGCTACTACTACTGAAGACACTTTGGAAGAAATGATTTTCATATTCTAGAAATTAAAACACAAGGTTGATATAACTTTGCCTCAAATATGACCTCTGGCATAGCTGGTAGTGCCAAATAAGGGTGCAATAGGAGCTTCTGGTGCATACGGCTTTGCCACGGGTAAAGCAGGCACAGCCATGAAAATGCCCTCCGAGAAGGCGAGTAAGTCCAAGTAAATTTAAGTAGAAGCAATATCTCGGAGCTCGAGTTGTCGGTAAGAGTTGTCCGCTAGCTTCATTTTTGAGATGAAGTTGATGATGTAACATGAGATTCCTGTGTGCTATTCATGGTGATGCGCCTCTATAACCAAATTTCGTGAAGGTACTACCTTTGATTCGTCAGACACTGCTGCACAGCACAACTGCATCTTCTGCACTTTAATGCTAATCTGATGTTTTTTCTTAGCTTTTGCAAAGCACACTCCTGTTTGAGTTGGGTACTTAGGTGTAAGGGCCGTTTACTAAAACACTTACCGGTAAGAGTCATTTGCTATCACTAACCTTATCGGTAAGCGCTTATCGGTAAGCGCTTATCGGTAAGAGTCGTCACCCTCACTTACTGGGTAAGATTCTTGGCCATATATGCAACAATCTTATCCGGTAAGCGCTTACCGGTAAGAGTCGTCATTCTCACTTACCAGGTAAGACTCTCATCCTTGTTTTGGCCCTTACCGGGTAAGATTCTCGGCCCTAAACATGTTAATCCAGTAAGGTAAGAGTTTGGTAAACAGCCCCTACGTCTTGTTTTCTTAGCCATCTCAGCAAGGCCTCTATAGGCATCTATCGTGTCTTGATGCAATGTCTTCTGCTTCTTGTTTTGCTTTGACCGACATTATTAAATTTGACCTTAATGCATGAGCGGGCTATGAACATTCATACCGGAAAAAAGAATTTTTTTATTAACCTAGATATCCAACCCGCTATGCGAGCTGACTAATCCCAGGGCGACCACCTGCTTTGCAGGTAGCCCGGAGTCACCGCATTTGAACCTCCGTGGCCACAAGGGGATTTTTGACATGTATATGTATATGTATATGAATGTGTGTATGTATATGTGTACATATGTACTTATGCATAAAATTATTTCTTGACAATGCATTATTTCTCCTTTTTCCGAATATTCAGTTGATATTTATTGTTGTCATTCACGCAAGGTACGGAGTTGCAGATAGCATGTCATCTTTGTGGTCACCAGTGTACTCTTATTGGAGTAACATCCCTATCTGTCCTTCGCCACACGTTTAGTTCATGTTGCTTCTGTAGATCAAGAAATTCTGAAACATCATTCACTAGAACCAGTATGTAGTTTAGGAGAAGTTGCTTTTCTTTTCAGATCCATCTTATACAAGAATTACAGACCCAAAAGAAACGGATACAGACTATAAATACCACGATAGTTTGAAAAGAATTGCAAAGTAGAATAATGATTGTAGAAGCGATCAAAATAAACCATTTAATAAAATTTCGAGCTGTTTACTCTAGAGAACCAAATTATATCATTACTCACATTTGGGGAACTACCAAAATGCGAAAGAAATGTTGCGTGTAAAGATTGCCCTGGCCGACCCTTGCAAATCCAAGGGTCTTGATTCGCTTGGGTTGAGATGGTTGACCAGAATTTGCAAAGGAAGTCTTTGACCATTTTATCCTTAATGGTGATCTCTAGTTCTGTCTTAGTGGTGAAAGAAGGCATGCCTGGAGGTAGTTATCTGCGCTAGGTGTAATCCTTTCTTTTGTTTTAATAAAGCTCACCAGCGGTGCTGCCCGCTTTCCGTAGTTTTTGGTGGAGATTCTGGAGAAGATGCATCACTGAAGAGGGATATAAATCTTAAATACAAAGATACCTTAAACTGGGCCATCGTTGATCAAAACATGGTGAAATCGCCCATGGAACCATGGAGTGGGAGGGAAACAAGCTAATGAGTATGAAGTTATAGGAAAATTGAGCTCCAAGTGGTTTTGTTTCTGATGTTAAGAAATAACCTAGGTCAAATAACAAAGTATGAATGCTAGTAAAATTGTTTTGATGATCACCATCGAAATCCAGGATTAGCAATAGGATGGGAAGTGTAATCTATATGCATTAGAGTCTAGATAGAAAAAGAAAAAAGAGAACCCTTTTCAAAACAAGGGTTCTAGCTGATTTAAGCTTGCATAAGTTCTATCAATCTTACAGTTGTTTCTTCTTAGTGGCTTGTTTGTTGTTGTGCATCCACACTTTGAACACTTGTTTTTTCAAACCAACTTCGTTGCAGAATCGTAGAACCTCCTGTTCATCTTGCTTCTGGATCTTCCACCCGATTCTTTCTGCAAAATCATGCATCTTGTCCTTTTGGTCCTCTGTGAATTTTGTGCGAAACCTTTTCTTTGACATCTGCGCCATTAATTGCGCTCCACCATTGGTCCGGAATATGTTGAGATCTTCACTGGAAGATTCGGCTGGCGTCCCACTTGCTCCTCCAAATGCCATCATGATAGGTTGCACTGGCTGATGATGCCTATGGTGTCGCTGCTGAGGTGATTGTGGGGGAGGTAGCTGTACTGTGGCAGCTCGAGGTGGCTGATTATGTGTCGAAGGTATTTGTGAAGCCATTTGCTGTGTGTAATAACCTGATTGTGACTCGCCTTCTACCTCTCTTCGGTGGAAACTCCGGTGGCATTCACAGGCAGCACATTTTAATGCTTCTGGGGTGCCATCTTCACCACTAGGCATGAATTCCCCACACCCATCTAGAACATGAGTGCCCATGTTGACGGCATGATTCTTTAGGCATTCACGATAACGAACTGCCACTGTAGCTGCGGCTCTAGCAATCGTTGATGGCTCAGGTGCTGGCGGCAGTGGCTGTGCGGGTGGTTGAGAGACCAGTCTAGCTGGATCTGGACCTGGGTTTGGATTCCTTCTGGGTCTTTGTGGTTCCAGTTGTTCTTTCTGTAACTTGAATCCACGATAGTGGTTTCCCTGATGAAGGTGAAGATGAGGGTGATCTGGGGTTTCATTCCTTCTGGTGTTTGAAGTGGGTGAAGAAATTAAAGGTGCAGTACTCGACCTGGACGATGATTCTTGATTGGATTGAGGTGGATTATTGTAATTTAAGGAGTTTCTCTCTCTAGTTTCCATTAGGTTTGACTTCTAAGGTTTTCTCACTCTAAACCACCATTTCATTGTTTAAAATCTCCCTAATTGTGTTAATTCTACTGGAAATTGGATATCTAAAAGGGTTTTCTTCTCTCTCCCTCTTTTCCATCTGCTTTTAATTTCTTTATTTCTTAATAGCTAGGTAACCATCTGACCAATCGATGGGCAGAAAATGCTCACAGATACGTGTAACAAAATAGAGATGAAGTTGAACACTATTGATCAAAATCTGGAAGAATGCACTAAACTGTTCTAAAAAGGAATCTTAATGGAGTGCAAGAAAGAAGACATTTTTTCTGTAAGATGGGGCCCCAAGACTTCCTCCTCTTGATAATGCATGACTAGTGGATTGCAACAGCTCTAAAGAAAGCATCATATAGACCATACACAGATGAAACACTTGAAACAGTAAGTTTGAACAAAATGGGAACTTAAGGAATTTGGGAGATTAAATACCATCCACCAGTTCAAAATTCATGAGAGAACAAAAGAGGCAGATGGGTCTGCTCTAGATTTGTGTCTTGAAAAAGTCTTGGATTTGTAGAGGCGGCTGATGTCATTGCCTGGTCCACTTTGCCCTCCTCTTCTCCATCTCCATAAGTTTGAGTATGTGTTTGTGTGTGTGTGAGAGAGGATGAGAGAGAGGGGGTAGGTTAGAGGGGTTTATATGTTTTTTATACATTAGTGTCTGTCACCTTTAGCCTAACTAGTTTGTCAAGCGCGCTTTTCACTTGGCACCGTGACAAATTTTTAGGCTTCCGCTCAACAATCGTGACCATTAAAGGATTTGATGGGCACAAATTATCCCACAGTTCGAGAGGGGTACAAGTAACCCCAGAGTGTCAGGTCTTTAGAGTAGTAGACTACTTTGATACCATGTGAGAATATGTTGAACTCACCCCAAGTTAATCTCCAAAGAGCCCTTGAGGCGAGTTAAAAAATTCCAACATATATACAGGAAAATTGTCCAAGTCTAGCCGATGTGAGACTCTTAACATATAGCATCTAATAAATTTCCACTTAGTCAACTAACCGCGTGGGTTAGGTTTATATGTCGATGTGGGATGCTAATGATGAAGGATGCTTCTTTTGTTTCTTTGACTTTTCTTTCTACATTCTGATCATTACTATGTTAAGAATGGTTTATAAGAAGTCTATACTGCTACTTCTGTATTAAGAAAGAAAAAGAGAGAGAGCTTATTGTAGGTGGGTTTTAGAATTAAAGCAAATATGATGGTCCTCAGAAATCGGAACCACTGTTACTTCTCCATGAGGCTGTGGACAGGGGATATACTATGGCCTTTTTTCTCACTCCGTAGCAGTGTACTACTTCTATTGCATAACGTCTAAGTATGTAGATTATTGCACGGAAAAGGATTTACATCTTCATTATATGGTTTGGTCTTATTCCTTGTCATATGATGTATCTAGATCGTGTCAATTTGTATGTTTGTCAATAGCATGATCCATAGTCATGTATATATATAACTTTTATCTTTTATTACGTTATGTAAAAGTCATTATTGTAGCTTCACATCTGAATTGATCCACACTCCAAGATTATTAATTGGGCCTTGAATGTTGTTGAATGATACATCATATCATATCGATGTGTCATTTTATATGGTTGTAACAGTTTTCATCTTATTGAACTGTGAACTCAATTGACAGGTTGAATGCTCTTTAACTTTTGGGAAAATATACTTGCTCATAGTCTGAATGGGAGGAAGGAAGCTCGATAGGTAGAGGGACGGCAGATAGGCTATGAGAGTCCTAAGACAAAACTAGGGGATCTAGCGTTGTCTTACCTTTACTATGTTCCTTTGTACCTACTTTTGATTATACGGTGCTGCTTACTTTTCTCTAACCTTAATCGTCTTCTTTTGTCAAATTGTTGAGACTTTTTAGGCAATCTTTCTTTTTCTCACATACTTTTTGCAAGCCAAGTGTCTTCATGGAAACAGCCGCTCTACCCTCCGGGATAGAGAACAATTCCGCATACATCCCAACCGGACCCCACGTCCAGTTGGGTCATACCGGCTCGTTTGGTTTACACTTGCTCGATGGCATTATGACATTGGGTTCTGTCACAGTTGTTATTATGCTCCCTATCCCAACATGATTTCTGATCATTTCCCATATTTCCTTTTTAAGTAAAGCAACATTGTTCGGCTCCACTTGATAGAAGGTGGCATCGTCTACTTTGGGTCGTTCCTTTTCCCAGATCTCAAAACTTCCAAACCCGGAACAAGCATTCTACGGTGATTTGTACATTGTGTATTAACATTTGTACATTATTCTTTAGATTTCAGGTCTGGAAAAAATGGGTAAGCTTATGTTAGCTCTTATGAGCCAGCCTTCAGCCTTGGTTGTCCTCCCATGCAGTCATGCAGGTATGTGGTCTCATACTGTCATACACACATATTGAATCTTTAGTATATCTGATGCATTTTCTACCCGTTGCTTGTTTGCACACATTGTCTGATGTAGCTTGTTCATTTATTAATTTGCTTGCACGCAAACACCGTACTTTTACTTTCACGTGAGATTTACTAGTATGTTTGGTTTGGTTTAGTCACTGGGTTCTTGTTGACTGTTTCTTGTCCCTTCTGAAAGATGGACAAGATGGGTTATCATCATAAACATTGCTTTACAGCCACCTGATTACATTTTCTCGTAAAATAGTAAAAAAACCGCAACTCAATGTCCCAACACACTATTTCTTGCGGTTTATTAGTGTTTTTTTTAGCTATTTTGTGCGAAAAAATTGTAAGGTGGGTGTAAAATAAAGGTTTTTATAATGAAAATAAAACGAGATTTATGTAATTTGGGTGGTCAAAAAGAGGAGGTAATTGAGGGAGATTTGTTGATTTTGTGAGGTGACTGTAATTTGTCTTTTTTGGTACGGAATAGCTAATAATATAAAGTGTTAAATATAATATTATTATTTCATGAGGTTTAGAAAGAGGGAGGTCGTTGGAGTAATTATGGAGTTATTATATAATATATAATAATAAGGACATGTGTGTGATTAGTTAAATATTAGAAGTGGGTCTGGATTGGGTTACGGGGATGTGGCCTTCTTTCAACCATATGTTTCACTTGTTATTTTTCTTGCTTTATTATTATTCATTAAAAAATGGCATTTCCTTTTCCCCCTCAACTAAATATTCCTTTATTTTCAAACCCTTGATACGCAGTCAGCCAGATTGATTTGTTGTGTCGGATTTTTCTAAATGAAAAATTTTAATGTTTAAAATTTCTAAAAAGAATTAAATCTGATTCTTCGTTTTGAAGATATCAATTATTATGTTATTAAAATATTTTATAAATTAATAAAATATTGTTTTTATTTTTTAAATGTTTAATTTCAAAGTTCACATTCTGAAGGAAGTTTTAGAAAATCTTTTGGAGCAAATGTTTTCCTAAAATCTCTATTTTTTTTTGTTTTTGTTTTGGAGAATCCGTTGGAGATACTCTTACCACGGGTTGATTTGGGAAAAAAAGTTGATTACCGGCAAGCCTAACCGGTTTCGTACGAACCTCGTCTCCAAGGACACTAATATGAATGGGTAAGCCTGACCGGTTTATTTGGGTCCTTTTCTGTTTAGCAAGTTGAGAAGATGCATGTCCCACATCTGTTAAAGTTTGGACTTGTTATCCTTAATATATGTTAGAATCTGATTTATTTCTTCAAGGATTGTTTGGGAGAGGAATTTAGTGGAAACATTCCTTTGGTAGTTTGTATTGGTGATACGATTGTCTTTTTCGATTTTCGATTTGGTATATTTAGGGGTGTTAAAAACACGTTGAAACAGACTTGTAAAGTCGAACTGAACCACCAACAGAGGTCATTGTGCAATATGGTTTGGTTTCAGATTAGGAGACTTGGTCAGTCCTTTTCGATACTTTGTGTAGGAATATTTTTTATTATTATTGCTACTACCAGTTTATTAAGAGTGAGAGAATACGTAGAATCCCATTAAATTACTTTTAACAAGAGCCATTTGCAAGAGAATGGAGGTTCCAAACTTCCAATATAAATCGAGAAGAAATAGCCAAGGCATGTCCCCTCCAATGGAGGGTAGACGGACACAAATTGTTCTAAAGTGTCAAGAGATTATCATAGGTCCTAGAGTGATAGACCTTCGTTTTGATACCAAATATGGGGAGGACCACTAAATTATGTGTCAATTGAACCTTTGAGAAATGTATCAACTTATATTTTCTTTTCTTGAGATACCTAATAGTTTCAAGTATTAAGGAAGTGTGTATACCTTCGTTTAAACCGTCACTAGTAAAGATTAATTTTTAATTTGTACACTCTATTGGAACCTGGTAAAAATTAAGACGTCAATAAGGACGAGACCCATAACCTTGTTAACATTATCACATTTTGTTGTTCATGTCAATTGTTAATGAATGTATTTGTTGTCGTTTTGAACCCAAAAAACTTATTCTGTCAAAGGTTAAGCACACATAGTATGTATATACATATATATGTATGTATGTATAATCATGAGAACCTACAAAGTTGAGAGAATCATAAAAACCGATGTTCTGTGTTATTTCACATACTTTTTTCTTCATAGCTTAAGATTTAAAATATCTGTTAACATATATTTGTTTCACAATGTCTTTTTTTATGTGTACTTATATCACTCTTATGTGTTTGTTTTTACTAAAATACATGTAAAATAGTTTCACATTGTGAAACACTTGCATGTAAAACAAAAATATTATGAAACAAATTTGTTAATCAATATTTTAAATTTTAGCAGTAAATACAGGAAAAGAAGGCATGTAAAACATGCATTTTCAAATGTATGTTAATGAATACTACATAAATAATTTGTAATGTTGTTAGCATCTTCAAATAAAATTTTTCAATGATTTACATGTGAACTTTTGAAATTGTTCTGTTTGGAAAATATGTCTGAATTTTAAATGTCATTTGATATTTTATATATAAACTCATTGAT